TAGCTGGGGAAAACCAGCTCTGCAAAGCAAAATGCCTCGCTGACCAGGCAGTGGGGCGTCACAGAGGGGGCCGCAGACTCCCCCACGCCAATAAGGTCAGGTCTCGTGCCATAACGGCTACGGGCTTGAGCCAAAATGGCTACGGAGGCGTTTCGCCTGAACATCGCCCTCACCACTCATGAAATTGAAGCTTGAAATGTGCAACGGGTTTCCAGATAGATAGCGGGCCGTTTTCAAAATGCGGTTCTCGCGTTAGCGCCACGGGCATCGCCTTAAAAGTGTGCAGTCGCTTCAGTGATGGTGAGCGGCTCCTTTTCTACATGGCGTTTTCTCTTTAGTGTCGCGCACATTCCCCGTGAAAGTTTGCAGCCGTTCCACGGACTCGCACGGTTGAAGTCCCAGCAATACCATTTCTGACGCGCTAACCCATTATGACCCGTACGACTCTTGAAAACGCGCGGCGCGAGGGCGAGAACCACAATTTGAAACGGAGCCGTCCTCAATCCGTACAACTTTTGGAAAGTGTTGAAACGTGTGTGCGCGGAGCTAGGGCGAGAACCACATTCTGAAAACGGCCTGTCCGAGAGGCACATTCTGAAAACGACCTGTCCTCAATATGTGAAGCTCGTGTAAACTGTTAAATCGACTGCGCGCAACGCAAGGGCAACAACCACATTTTGAAAACATCGGTCCTCAACCCGCGAATACCCTATAAGTTGCTAAAACGCGCGCGCGCGGCACTAAAGCGAGAACCACATCCTGAAAACGACCCGACCTCAACCCGTGAAGCTCTTGCATCGTTCGAAGACGACTGCACGTGGCGCTAAGGTGGGAGCCAAATTTTGAAAACCACCCGCCCCCAATGTGTGAATGTGCTGCCATTTGTTCAGTTGCAGCTTCAGGGTCGTATAGATAAAGGAAATCTCAAGCGAACCGCCCAGCCCGCCCGCCCGACTGGCCTCGGGGTGCGTCAAGGATGATTGTTGTTAGCGCATAGAGAACGGAGAGGGAATTGACGATGATGACGACGACGACGATGATAACGGTGATGGTGACATGGGGAGGAGGAGGAGGGCAAAGTGGAGGAGGAGAGACGGCACCGTGGAAGAGGAGGAGGAGGGGGAAGAGGAGAAGGACAAAGAGGAGGGGGAAGAGGGAGGGCAAGAGGACAAAGAGGAGAAGGACAAAGAGGAGGACAAAGAGGAGGGGGAAGAGGAGGGCAAAGAGGAGGAGGAGGGGGAAGAGGGGTGAAGGATGGAGGGGGACAAGGATGGAGGAGGAGGGGGAGGAGGAGGAGAAGGTCGACGAGGAAAAGGGAGAAGGAAGCAGGAGAGGGGAGGCGGGAGGAACAAGGATGGGGGGATAGGGGGAGGTGAGGGGAGGCCGAACGTGGGCAAAGAGGCTGTCTTTAAACACTGAAAACTCTGCACCCCGCACAACAGGGAATGAGAGTGGGCGGCGGCCCACTGTATAATGACCTCGTAGGGAACGCTGCGCAAGGAAGATAAACAAACAGAGGAGATGGCAAATGAAAAAGAAGTTGGCTAGACACTCGAACTGCGGCTGACATCGGGGCGTGAACCTGACCAACTTGAAAAGAACTGGGCCGATTCCTGTGTGCGTTGTTGTACCTCTTCCCACACCCACCGACACCAGCAGGGAAAATGCAGCCTTGGGCAGATGAGAACTAGCCCTACGCACTGTTTTGCTACGCCGCGTCTTGGATGCAATATCTTAAACGCAATATTTCTAACGCGTGTATTTTACCTTTTGATTTCAACGCAGCGTTGTGCATAATGTGTAAACGCAGCGTTTTTTTTCACGCAGCGTTTTTTTGTGTCGCAATGTTGTTAGGCAACGTTGTTCAACGTAGCGCTGTGTTTCCGCGTCGTGTGTCACGCATTTTTTGGTACGCAACGTTTTAACCGCTGCGTTCCAAACGAAGTTGTTACGCAGCGCTGTTGGTGCAATGAGTGTTACCAAGGTGTTTAACGCAACGGTTTCTTTACGCACCGTTTTGTGCGCAAGTTTGTCTGACGCCCTGTGTTTGTAAACGCAATGTGCGTGTTACAACGCAATGTTTTAACACAATGTCTCTGTTACGCAATGTGGCAAACGCATCGTTTTATTATGTTTAGAAATACAAGCAAAAAACGCAGTGTTGCACGCAACTTTTCTACCCCAATGCCATTTGTTGTTACGCAGCTGGATTAGCGCTGTGTGTATGTTTGTTTCCAGTCCGTGTTTCAAACGCTGCGTTCCTTTACTCAATGTTTTGTTCAAGGAATGTGTTGTACGCAATGTGTTTAGCATGGAACTTTTTCCCGCAGCGATTTAGAACCGGCGTGTTCAGCGCCGTTGTTTCACGCAACGTCTTATTCACGCAGCGTGTTTAACGCAGTGTGTGTGTGTGTGTTTTGTTACGCAACTCTTGTGTATTTAACGCCGCCATTGTCACTCAATGTTGTTTGGTTTAACGCAGTGTTTCTAATGGCGTGCTTTTGTTCTGCAGTCTGTTAATTGTTTACACAAAGTTTGTTTACGCCGCCTTGTTTAAACGCGGTGTGTTTTACGCAGTTGGTTCGTTACGCAGTGCTTTTGTTACGCAGTGTTTTTGTTCGCAAGGTTTCTGCTCAGAGTTTTGTTTACGCCGCGTTTGTTTACACAGCTTGTGTTGTTTACGCTGTGCTTGTTGGTTGCCGTTTTCTCTTGTTCGCAATGTTTTTACGCAGTGTTTTTGCTCATGTAATGTTTGCTTGGCAATGTTTCCTCCGTTGCGTTTTACGCTTTGCGTTTGAGCAAGCGCCTTACAATCATCGTTATTGGAGGCGCGCGCTGAAGCACTGCGTAGGAAACGCTGCGTAGCAAACGCTGCGCAGGTGGGTCCTCGATTGTGGCCCAGTTTTCGGGTGTCGGTTTTCCGGCTTCGGATGTCGAGTTCTGGAGTTCCGCATTTCGGGCGGGCTTTCGGGTTTTGGTTTTCTGGCTTCGGATTTCCGGTCTTCGGGTTCAGCGTTTCGGGCCGACTTTCGGGTTTCGGCTTAATGGCTTCGGAATTCCGGCTGTTTGTGTTCCGCGTTTCTGGCCGAGTACAGCGCCTCGTTCAGCGCCTAGTACAGCGCCCAGCTCAACGCCTAGTCGAGCGGCCCACTACGTAGAAAGCACTACAGAATATAAAGCACTACGCAGTAGAAAGCACAACGTAAAGCACTACGTACTGGAAAACAATACGTATTAGAAAACTCTACGTGGTAGAAAGAACTACGTAGTAGAAAACACGACGTGGAAAACAATACGTACACAAAGCAATGAAAATAATACGCAGAAAACAAGACGTAGAAAACACTACGGTGGGGGCATTGGACAAGGAACCCTTAGATAAGGAATCCAGGGTCTGGAACATGGTGCAATTCCAATCGTGGATTGGCCTAGGATATCGCAGCCGCCCTAAACAGATAAGCAATCCTCCAGAGTCTGAAGCCTCCTGGGCACATTCCTTAACGAACGCCCCCACCGTGCGTAAAACACACTGCGCAACAAGAAATGCGTCGTTTATTTTTGACTGTAACGCTTCAGATTTCGACTTCACGACAGATGCTCCCATCAAATCCACCAAGCCCCACCTCTGGGCGACGCGATAGCGAACACAGGCATAATCTCTCGTATCAGGTCGAATGTGCAGCACGCAGAAAGCCACAAGACCCAGCTCGATGACAAACACTGCCGCGGCGAACAGTTCAGTCAATGCCTGGCTCGGGAATCGCAACCTGAGTCGTCGAACGAATCAACGAACATCAGGCCGTGTGTCTCCGGTAATTGCATCATAGTCGAGATATCATGAAACGTCGGGTAATCGATGGGAGTGGCCACCGCTTCTTTTCTCTGCGACAATTGTGATGGCGCAGCAGGTGTCGCAGGGGGCGCTGCCCTATCAATCCTCTGGGGCTGTGATGATGCAACGATGGTCGTAGCCAGAGATGGTTTCCGCTCCGCGTCCAGGCTGGCCAGGCGTCCTTCCAAGTGACGGAGTACACAGTCGTTAAGATAGCACTGGTTCCCATTTTTGCAAGGCCGCACTGCCCCATCCGAGCAAGGCGCGCGTCCACGATACAGCTATCTCTCATTGAGTCCCGTTGCTGAGCGCTCACGAGCCCTCGGCAGACGAGGGGGCGCGAGCTTCCAGAGCGCCGAGTCGACTAGCCAGAGCAACGCATCTGCCAACTACAGGAACTACAGCTTGCCCAGTCCGGGGCTCAACCTGCCTGGCCACCGACGCAACAACAAAACCGACATGTGTCGACACCATATTCAGCAGAACTGCTGCGAAGCCAGAGAAGCCCTCTCGTACCAAGCGGTCTGTTTAGTCCCGCGCCTCATGCCCGAGCGCAGTGAGCTGATAATCAATCGTCGACTTTGCATCACCATGTGGTGCATCGAAGATGGTGGGGCCAAATGCTTCCGAAAACGTACGACAAGCCAGCTGTCGCAAATGACGACGACTCCACAAACTCAAGCGCACACGTCTGCGCGACGCTCTCGATCAAGGGTGCGCATATGCTCCTCCAATGACTCGGAGCGGTCCTGGTAAGAGTTTGCACCACCCTTGCTGCCATCGTATGCAAAAACATGAGGACGAAGGAGGAGGAGGAGAAGGAGAAGGAGGGGGAGGAGGAGGAGGTGGTGGAGGAAGAGGGAGAGGGAGAGGAGGAGGAGGAGGAGGAGGAGGAGGAGGACGAGGAGGAGGAAAAGGAGGAAGGGGCATCTGTAGCGGGGGGCACTGGCTGCGGAGTCCTCCAGGGCGCCACGCAGCATCGCGAGGGAAGAGTTCTGAGCCTCGACCAGTTGTTGGCAGGGGCGCAGTTGTAGAGCGTATTGGCCTTGCGCCGAGGACAATATGCCTGGAATCGGTACCACTACTGCCGCTGGGGGCTTCGCCATCGAACCATCATGCGCACACCCCGAGGCCTCATGCAAGGCAAGCTGCGCAGTGACAGCTGAACCTGTGTGGCAAACTCCACGGCGGATGGGTCCACGCTGACGCCAGGACCACGGGGGCGATACCTCGGAGCAGCCGTGGCAGCGCCTCCAGACGACGTGAAGTCAACTGAAACCTCACTGCCGCACACCTCGGCGTTGAACTGAGAAACGCTTTGCTGTGTGACGTGCTCGCAGAGATGGTCCGCGACATCGATATTGACCATATCATTGCGACGCGTTTGCGGCATATCTGTGGGAAACCGTGCAGCCGCAGAGAGCCCCTCGACATGCACGCCGTGTTCGTGGGCGAGGCCCTTCAGCGGCTGACCGTGCAGATCAGAGACCAGTTCGCGAACTTCCACCTTTGCAGGCATGGGCGAGTGAGCGAAGGGACGTGGGGAAGATCAACACCAGCTACAAAGCAACACACCAAAACCTGCGTGTGCAACAATAGCTACGGAGTGCGAGGCGGGAGAAGAAAGAGGAGGATGAGGAGGAGGAGGACGACGACGAAAAGGAGGAAGAGGAGAAGGAGGAGGAGGAGGAGGAGGAGGGAGGGGAAAGAGGACTTGGACAAGGTCATAAATCAACCTGTGCTGGCGGTTGTCCGCGACCCACGCCCGGCTGAAACTCACAGCTCATCGATCGCCATGTCCATGTACTTGTCTTTCTTGCTGTCATCAATGGCCTTCAGCTCCTTCATCCCGCGCTCGATCGCCGTGGTGCTGATGTAGGACTCGATGCGGCTCGCCGCACCATCCTCCATGTCCTTGATGGCCTGCTTGGCGGCCGCCTCCTGGCGGGAGAGCGTGGTCTCCATGTTGGCCTTCAGGGTGGCCTCGAACTCGGCCTTGTCCTTGTCGATGCTCGCGTTGATCTCCGCGATCACCTCGGCGGCCTGCGCTTGGGCCTTCTCCGCCTCTGCCAGGCGGCTGGTCGCCTCGTTGAACTTGGCTATGGCGTCGTCGATGTCGCCCTGAATCTCCTTCTCGCGGGTGGCCATCGACTCGCTGAGGAGGGGCCCCAGCAGGTAGAGGAGACCCGCGATGAGCACGGCGATGTTGACGATGCCTGTCTCCGGGATGTCGAGGTTCAGCTCGAAGCCGCCCCCCAGCGGGACCTTGCCGAAGTTCAGGAAGCCCTCTGGCGCCTTCTCGGCAACCCCGTGAGGGGGAACGGTAATCACAGTCGGCCCGTATCATAAGGATGCACGACAAGGATGCAAGGGCCTTGGCAGGCCATTTCGGAGCTTTCCCAGCGGGGTGCGGCCAGCGAAAGTGGCCGACGATGGACCGAGGAGGCCAGGATGCAAAGGGCCCCCTTGGGAAGGTTGCCCATCCTTACTGTGCGGGTTGAATGCAAGGGGACTGAAGACTGTAAAAAGAAGCTGTCTTCCCAACAGGCAGACCAAGGAACCGTGAGAAGACCACGTCGGCCGTGACTCGCTGCCCGCACGAGACGGCTCGGTGCGTAGGGTGGCAGGGCCCCCTGAGGGTTCAATGTAAGGGGAGGGCTGGCCCTGGGGGGAGACGCCGACCTGGCATCGGCGATGCACCGCCACGACAGATCGGCGACGGGCCCCCCAGAACTGGGAGCCGGCGAGAAACCGTCAACCAGGTTGCCGCCGGGACCCTCGTAGAGCTCTCGACACGCAAATTCGTGCTTAGCTTACGAGGACAGAGCTTCCTTGAATATCAGCTGAAAAACTCGCAGGATTTATTTTTTCGGGTTTGCTGGCCCTTGGGGGAGGACGCTGACCTCGTCCTCCTCGTCCTCCTCGTCCTCCTCGTTCTCCTCGTCCTCCTCCTCGTCCTCCTCCTCCTCGGCGATGCACCGCCAAGACGGATCGGCGGCGGGCACCCCCAGAACGGCGCCTCCGCACGCACCTGGGCGGGGTGGGCCACCCGGGCCCAGCTCGGCGACGAAGGGGCGACTGGGGCTCGATGCATCGCCCCCTGGGCCCATCCGCTCCTCCCTCCTCCCTCCTCCCTCCTCCCTCCTCCCTCCTCCCTCCTCCTCCTCCTCCTCCTCCTCCCTCCCTCCTCCCCTCCTCCTCCTCCTCCTCCTCCTCCTCCCTCCTCCTTCTCCTCCTTCTCCTCCTTCTCCTCCTTCTCCTCCTCCTCCTTCTCCTCCCTCTCCCTCCTCTCCTCCTCCTCCTCCTCCTCCTCCTCCTCCTCCCTCCTCCTCCTCCTCCTCCTCCCTCCTCCCTCCTCCCTCCTCCCCTCCCTCCTCCCCTCCTCCCTCCCTCCCTCCTCCTCCCTCCTCCCTCCTCCCTCCTCCCTCCTTTTCCCTCCTCCCTCCTCCCTGCTCCTCCTCCTCCTCCTCCTCCTCCTCCTCCTCCTCCTCCTCCTCCTCGGCGGGGAGCTTTCTATCAGCGTGTCGCGGCGGCGGCCCCGGCGGCACGTTGCCTCGCAATGGCCCCCCTGGGAGGATTGCCCATCCTTACTTTGCGGGTTGAATGTAGAGGCATCCCATGACTTGCTACCGAACTAGCCCTCCCAGTGCGAGCCTGCTCGGCGCCCTGGCTGGCGAGCGCGGGCGCGGCGCCCGCGAGCGCGGGCGCGGCGCCCGCGAGCGCGGCACCCCCGGAGCACTCTCGGCCAGGCGCAGCCGCTGGAGGGCATCAACGGAGTTGGAAGGCGGCCGAGAACCGACCAAAACTTGAGCAGGGACCGACCGTCCCGGCATTCATATAGCCCTACCACGAAATGTTCTTAGAACCCCAAAAGGTTCTAAGAACAAAAGCAATGTTCTTAAAACATAAACCCGCTGTGTTAAAACAAGACAATATCAGCCAGAAGTGTTCTAAGAACATTTCGTGCAGACCACAAAAAGTTCTTAGAACATTGTTTGGTGGGACTATAAGCGAGCCGGTACGCTTCGCCACTGCTTGAAAAACGCCCGCGACACCTCAACCCTCGAGCCTCGAAGCTTGTTCCCCCCCTGAGCCTGCCCCCCTCGAAGATTGACAGAACACCCTTTTTAGCGAAACGCTCTTCAGTGAAAGCTGCTGGGGCACTCCACGGGTGCGCCAGCAGACCTCAACCCCTCGACCCTCGAAGCTTCGTCCCCTCCTGAGCCTATCCCTCCCAGTGCGAGCCTCCTCGTTGGCGAGGGCGGGTGCAGCGGGCGCGAGCGCAGCGGCGCCCCTCAGCACGGCACCGGCCGGGCGGCTGGCCGCCGCGGACGCCGCCGCGGGGAGGAAGCAGCCCGCGGTGCGCGCGGCGAGCACGGCGGCGAGCCCAAGGGCCAGGCAGGCCTGAACGGTAGGAGGCAACTCCTGGGATGTTTTCGTCAGAGCGATTAAGACCCGTTGGCTCGATTAAGGGGCCACTGGGCCGGATGAGGCCAGATTGAGTCAGGGATGAGGCTGGATTCAACGGGCTTGCGCCAGATTGAGCGGGACTACGCTGGATTTGGCGGGATTGCGCTGGAGTAGGCCAGTTTTCGACCAGGGATCTACCAGCGCCGATTCGAAATTAATCTCCCAGGAGTTGCATCCTAGTAGAGGGGCCCAGGGAGACGCAAGCAGATCGGCAAACATTACAGGAGTCCGCATGTCTCCCATATCTTCTGGATGTCCCTCTTCCCCTGATCATCTCCCACGTGTCCTGGGAATCGACATTTGTGTCGGTGCCTTTGTTCCCTCCTGAACGCCGCAAGGGTGGGGCGGCGGGCGGCGCTGCGGAGGGCCATTCTGCTCACGCGGGCGTCGGCCGGCTGGCCTGGGTCACCTAACCCAGACCTCCAACACGTCATGAAGAATCAGCACAGCAATTGTTCGACGCCTCTGGCGCCTGGGAGCCCTCGCCGGCCCCCGAGACGGTCAAACAACGACTCAGGATGAAGAGCCCGTCCCGGGGCAAAGGGTCGACACTCTGGGAAACCCCGCAGTGACAGCACAGAGGCACCGGATGTCTAGGGGCTTCGTGCTTGCCGCCCCGCGGTGCGCAGTGACCATCGCGCCCTCGCGCCGCCGCCTCGGAGAAGGGCGCCTCTCCAGCGCGAGGCGCGGGATTGCGATCGCCTTCGCGCCCCTGGGGGGTGACCTAGGCTGGCCAGCTCGGGGGGGGGGGCGGGCGGGCCGAAAAATCGGTGGGGTGGGTAAACAAAAAGGCTGCGGAGGGGGGTCGTAGGGGGAACTGGAGGCAGGAGGAGAAGGGGCAGGAGCAGGAGAGGCAGAAGCAGGGCGAGGAGGAGGAGGAGGAAGAGGAGGAGAATGAAGACGAGTAGTAGTAGTAGTAGTAGTAGTAGTAGTAGTAGTAGTAGTAGTAGTAGTAGTAGTAGTAGTAGTAGTAGTAGTAGTAGTAGTAGTAGTAGTAGTAGTAGTAGTAGTAGTAGTAGTAGTAGTAGTAGTAGTAGTAGTAGTAGTAGTAGTAGTAGTAGTAGTAGTAGTAGTAGTAGTAGTAGTAGTAGTAGTAGTAGTAGTAGTAGTAGTAGTAGTAGTAGTAGTAGTGGTAGTAGTAGTAGTAGTAGTAGTAGTAGTAGTAGTAGTAGTAGTAGTAGTAGTAAGTAGTAGTAGTAGTAGTAGTAGTAGTAGTAGTAGTAGTAGTAGTAGTAGTAGTAGTAGTAGTAGTAGTAGTAGTAGTAGTAGTAGTAGTAGTAGTAGTAGTAAGTAGTAGTAGTAGTAGTAGTAGTAGTAGTAGTAGTAGTAGTAGTAGTAGTAGTAGTAGTAGTAGTAGTAGTAGTAGTAGTAGTAGTAGTAGTTGTAGTAGTGTAGTAGTAGTAGTAGTAGTAGTAGTAGTAGTAGTAGTAGTAGTAGTAGTAGTAGTAGTAGCAGTAGTAGTAGTAGTAGTAGTAGTAGTAGCAGTAGTAGCAGTAGTAGTAGTAGTAGTAGTAGTAGTAGTAGTAGTAGTAGTAGTAGTAGTAGTAGTAGTAGTAGTAGTAGTAGTAGTAGTAGTAGTAGTAGTAAGTAGTAGTAGTAGTAGTAGTAGTAGTAGTAGTAGTAGTAGTAGTAGTAGTAGTAGTAGTAGTAGTAGTAGTAGTAGTAGTAGTAGTAGTAGTAGTAGTAGTAGTAGTAGTAGTAGTAGTCGTAGTAGTAGTAGCGTAGTAGTAGTAGTAGTAGTAGTAGTAGTAGTAGTAGTAGTAGTAGTAGTAGTAGTAGTAGTAGTAGTAGTAGTAGTAGTAGTAGTAGTAGTAGTAGTAGTAGTAGTAGTAGGGTAGTAGTAGTAGTAGTAGTAGTAGTAGTAGTAGTAGTAGTAGTAGTAGTAGTAGTAGTAGTAGTAGTAGTGTCGTAGTAGTAGTACTAGTAGTAGTAGTAGTAGTAGTAGTAGTAGTAGTAGTAGTAGTAGTAGTAGTAGTAGGACTAGAAGTAGTAGTAGTCGTAGTCGATGTCGTCGTGGTGGTGGTAGTAGTAGTAGTAGTAGTAGTAGTA